AAAAAAAAGATCGGGAATACCCCCTTAAGCTTGGAGATACTTCACAAAATGGCTCAGGCTTAAGAAGCTAGTGCATCAGCCTTTTTTATTACCTTCTACCCCACAGTCTCCTGGTACCCAGTAGAGATTCTTTGTATTGTTTTTAGACAGCTGTTGAAGTAACTGAATGGATTTCCATACTTATTTTGAAGTACATCTAGTTGACTTTAAACCATTCAAAGCTGTTGCGGTATCAGAAAAGATACATATATTTGCAGGCTTATATTTTCTCGCTAAACACACAGTAGTGCATTCTAGTAGTATTTTAGTATAAACAACGGTTGGCAATCCCCTGATACAGTAAATGTGAAGAGTTTAAGAGAAGTTTTACTTAATTTAAATGTTCCATCTAGATTAGTTGACAGTGTGTTATTATGTGTTAAGGATGAACTCACTAGAGTTTTATGGCAAAACCAATTTTCTAAAGAGTTCAAAAGAGGTAAGGGAATTAAACAAAGATGTCCCCTGTCACCTCAACTTTTCAATTAATTAATACAAGATGTTCTTAAAAACGTGGCAAGATATATTCCTGAATTAGAATTGATAGATGTATATTGCTTAAAACTGCCGATAATTTTAGCATTTGCCGATGACATATTAATAATAGCAAGCAGTATAAATTAGTTAGAGAATATTCTTAAAGTACTACAAGAGGAGCTATACAAAGTAGGTCTTAAAATCAATAGGGAGAAAAGTCAAATTTTAGTTAGATACCCAAAGGACACAGCAGTACAGCCAAAGGAATTAATGCTTAATGAAACTGCTTTTAAAACTAGTGAATATATTAAGTATTTAGGAGTTTGTCTGACCAAGTTTGTTTAACCAATAGGCATAGATGTTTATAGATTAGTAGATTAGTAGTAGATTTTCGTACAAGATTTCATCCGAGCTGGGAATTAGGAAAGCTTACATATAATACAGTTTTGGCGCCAGCGTTATACGGAACTAAGGTAGCGGTATTAACAAAGAAAAACAGGGTGGTACTAGCCAACTACGAAAAAGTTATTCTAAGGAACATTTTTAATAGCTGTAAAAAACCAAGTAATATGAAAATTAATGCAAGAAAAATTTTAGCAGGAAAAACAATAAATAGACGAGTTAGGGTAGGCAGAATAAATTATTTTGGACATATCAGAAGAAGACAGATTCATCTCTCTTCTTCTGATATGTCCAAAATAACTTATTCGGCCTACCCTAACTGCAATTAGCGTATAGATTCAAATTCAACAATAAAAAAGAAGGTAGACCAAGCCTTACTTGGAGGAAATCATTAAATCAGGACTTTGATAGATATGAAGAACTAGCTAAGGACAAAGAAAAATTAAAAAAGAATGTGGAAGAAATTTATAAGAATGAGAATAGCGAAATTTCAGATGGTGTATCGACAGAGGAAGAAGATCGAGGAAAAGGAAGTTATAAACACTGGAAGAAAAGGACAGAGAATGTGTAACAAGGACTATTACAAAAAAAAAAAAAAAAAACAAAGCAAAACTAATCCTGGTTGTATCTCTTTTTCATTTGAATGCATTCCGGGTGACGAGCGAACATGATGAAGAAGATGGCTTTATCACAGAGCCCCGTCTCGGAACGAGTGTATTGTTGAACGACATGGTCTACGATTCAAGATTGGTTTCTGTGATGATAAGTATCACGATCTTCATCGAAATGTAAGTATTATTGACAATAATCATAACAATCAACTCGTATATACATTGAAATACATAAATAAAAGGGAAGGGACGGTCCAACAGGGCACCCGATTGAAGCGATTTGGACGGGAAAAGTGGGAATGCCAACTCCCCGTTGATAACATTTCGTGGATAAAGGGCGGGCTCTTCTCCCCACTTATTGGGGCATCTTCCTGTTTGGGGGCTTATCTTTTTGACCAATTGGCTGATCAAGTTAGATGCGTATAGTCGACTTTGCCTATCGATCTACCCAATCCGTTTTTGGCCCTTCATACAGCGACATGTTGAGGACAATCAGAGGTTATTAAGCATGATCAAGACAAACAGAGAAGAGAGCCCACTGCTGTCGGACTTAGTTTCCGTGCTACAATGGATGGTAAACCACTATCATGCATCATCATCACAACGGTTGGCAATCCCCATAGAAACTTAAATATTAACAGCGGGACCTGTCACACTAGCTCCCACTATATCATTTTATTTGAATCCATCAGTAAACAATACAACTGATCCTAGGCGGATTTGTGGTCCGCCTGCACCCCAGAGAGAGCAGTCTGGTTCTACCACATGAAATAATCGACTAAAATTGAACTTTGTTTCGATCCAGCTGACTGTATCTAATGAATTGTCGCATTTGTTTTAAAATGTAAAATCTTCTAGTTCGTTTGCGTCTTAGTGCACTCTTTTCAGCATCTAATTGTGCGAACTGATGTACAGGAAGAAGATTTAGTATTGCATTTACAGCTTTCGTGGGTGTGGTACTAGTACAGTGGGCTGCCAATAATCCCATCTCAGTCCCATATGGAAAAAGTAGGCATTGAGAAAATGGCAGTGAAATTTCCATGTAAATATTTTAAAAGTCATAGTAAATTAATCAATAACTTTGTCAAGTTAAAATCAGCAGCAATGCAGCTTGCATGGTTTGTTATATCAGCGGAAAAGATGGCGATTCCAAAAGCAGAACTGTAACTTAGTCTCTGGACGATTTAATTTCAGGACGGGACTGATATGCGATTACTTTGCTTGATGGGACAAACTGACTTGATGTTGTTTTCATATTTTTCATGATTGAAGTCCGTAGTATTAACACGTAATATGAAATTAGATGCTAATTGATAGTCGATAGCGTTATTATCTTAAAATTAGTGAAAATCCATATGGGACTGATATGCAGTCGTTGTAGCTTTTCTAGTTTATATATTTGCACAGTTTTCCTATGTTTTAGGCCATCAAACTAATGAGGCATATTTATTTCTGGGTCGTATTATAGCCGTATATATCCAATGAATCATTCCTGGCCTCAGTCTACATTTATTTTCGAAGGTTCATTTGCTTACCTAGGGGAAATGGATGTAATGTCGGCCTAAATGCCTCTTATTTGGGCCCATACATAAATTCAGCAATCGATTAATTTTTCAATAGTTACCAAAAATATCCATTAGTATCGTCCCAATGACACGTTCATCTAGATAAAACTGATAAATAACAGATTTTTAGCGATGGGCCCAATCTTAGATCCATAGGCCAACATTAGAGCCATTTCCCCTATAGTGCATTTGTTGCTTTACCTATGATTTGGTTTAAGTGTTGGTTTCAGTTGGGTTAATGATCGATCGTAACTCCTAGATATTTTACCACGTATGAAAGTTTTATTGATATCCTTTATATGTGAAGACCAATTATGTTTAATTTCCTTTCTTCTTGTGAATGGAATAATATGTGTTTTCTGAGGAGTTATGCTCAATCCTTCTGACTTACACCTGTTTGTTATGACATCATAAAATAACAATAAACAATCATCATTTTTTCCCCGGACAGTTATAACAATGATATCTGCTAATCCAATTACTTCAAAACCCTGTGATTCTGGTTTTGTTAGTAAATCATTACTACTGATCTCCAGATAAGGGGAAATAAAACACCGCATTGTGGGCATCATTTAACAGCATTTTCTAATAAAGATGAGCGAAATTTCACGTTTTGACAGCATTTCACTAATCCATCTAACGATCCACGTCAAATCCACGTTTCAACAATGTCTTCGGAACTATATATGTGTGATGCATTGTAAAACGCTCCTTCTACATAGAGGCATGTTGAAAGCTTCAAACGTTTTCTCTATTTTTGAAACAAGTGTATGTAAAGATGACACAGTTGGTTTTCCTGATTAAATAAGCAAACTGATGATTGCTTAAAGGAATACTTTTCAAGAATGTAAATTTAATGTAGTGATGTGTAAGTTTTTCCTTGATTTTTAGTATTACGGATGATAAACTTATTGGTCTAAACGATTTAGGAGAAGTCTTATCTCTCTTGTTAGCTTTTGGAATGAATATAACCAAACATTAGACTAACTTTAAACATTTAACCGTCCCATTGCTTTGTATTCCATAGTTTTACAACCTCAACAATAAAAATAGAATCCCATCTCTAACGAACAGTTTTTATATCACTCCAGTAAAATTTCCATATAAATCAAAAGTGTCCTCCCCCTCCGTGTCGGGGCAGCTTGCGGTGGACTCTGTTTGGTTTTATGATTCCCACCTCAAACAGAGAAAAGGCTTAACCGCAAATTAATACCGTTCCTCTTTCTCCATCCCACATCAAGCTACATAGGAAGGTACCGACAACGCACCGATAATTCTATGATGCAGTACCAGCAGCAGCATTAATTTACGATAAAAGCTACTCGTAAACTCGCTTGAGAACAAGACTCACACATACACTTGAGAAATGCCGCTCATCGCTGCATTGCTGCACTGCATCTTTTCTCACACGCCTCAAACTGGACCGCTGCTGCTGCTACTGCTGCTGTTGTGCATGATAAGCACTAAGCACTGGATGTGAAGTAAGTACTTGCAGTAGTCTAGTAGTTTTGTGGTAAACCACTTTGGGTTGGCTCGGCATGGGGATGCTAGGAGAGTAGAGGAGTGTCCTGTTCTATGATTAAGAAATTGAACGGTATACTCTCTTCCGGAGATCGTCGGATGGCAAGGGGCTGGGCCGTTGGTCGTAAATCAGAAAATGATTTACACCTCAAGTGGCCGCACGGGTTGTCTGTCATCGTCGTTGTCGTCGGAGCAGAATTTTTCCACCGGACTGATTGGAGTAGGTGACATTTTCAGAGTGACAGAGTGTGGGTTTTTAAAATTAGTTCGTTAATTTTTTGCATGGTTTGTTTTTGCGGTGGCGATCCTTGACTTTTTTTTTATCTTTCGTCCTGATTACGATAAAAGCTTTTGTGTGTATTTCTTGGAGAGGAAAGGTACTTACTGTTGTTGAACTTCGCTCCCTGCGATATAAGCATCGATAGCGGCGTAGGGCCATTTGGGCTACGTGGTGGCAGGCCGAACAGCTGATTACTGGCATTTTGTCCTACTTTGAAATAGTTTTTGTGCAATCCCATCCCGTGGTATGCTGTCCTGTGAGCGTCGGTGGTCGTAGATGGTCGTCTTTGTCTATTGACTGATGCGCCAATGTCGTTGGCCTCACCGGTGGAGCGTCTGGTCGGTCGTCGTCGTCGTCGTCGTTGTAGTCGGCCTTGAAAGCCGGAGCCGGATTTGGATGCGGCTACTTCTGGCTCCAGGTAGTGGGAGGGACTTTCCTCGAGGCAAAAATCTGAAAATAAACAGAAATGAATAAATTACTCCTGATTCAACAAGACGCTATAGTTCAGAAGATGAAATGATATAAAATTCGTGATCGTGACATTGACAATTCGCCAACATGTCCCCCGAAAGGGTATGAGTCAACAAAAACACATGTCGTTGACTTGAGCTATGCGGTTAGGCTGTGACCGTGACAATAGGCGTGAAATCAGTTAGAGTTGTATAATCATCATCGCCTTCGCTTTCGTCACCTAGTACTACCTACTGAAGTCGGACGCAGCATCTTTCATCTTTCTCTCGACACACGTCCCAACTCAAGAGTTCGGATGCACACCTAAACCGGTACAAACATCGACTAAACTTGGTCCAGCGGATAGCTTACCAAACTTGACGGAGGAAGGTGACCTTGGAATGGGTGCAAAGGAGAATTGTCCTGCCAGTGAAAAGTGTACGTACACATATGCTTGACTTCAGGCGGTGGTTGCGAACATGCGCAGCGATGCCAAAGATGAAGAAGGTGTGCAAAAGTCGCGACTTATGTGCCGTATGTCCATAACTGGATAATAAACGATATGTTTGTAAAGCACACTTGCAATGACCCATGGGAAATAACGATACGGTGTGGTGGCCGGCGTGCGAAAGTTGAAGTGTCGCCCCAACTGGTCGGTGCTGTCAAGAGCGGAGCAAATTAATTAATGCGTGGAATAAGTCGTAGCCTTTTGCTGTCAGTGACGAGTGATATCCAAATCCTTTTTTTTAGGCGAAATTCTTCTGCACAAGATTTCTTGGGCTTATTCTTGGAGATACGTTTGAGGAATTTAGTTTGATTAACACTGAAATTCATTTTGAAAATTATCACGAATTATGGTAATAACTGAACTTGGTTGATCGCAAAAAAATAATTTCCATTCAATTGTGCGATAATTTTCAATAGAATTGTTTTATTTCCCATCAAAAATAATATGTACATTATGACATGGAAAAGCATGCACATTCGATTCTTGCAGTCATTTACCTTCATTTACCTCCAACTTTTATCATCAATTTAATTCCGTAAAATAATGTTTGAAGCTACTGTGAATAACTCAAATCTGTATCTCTTATGCATGAAGAACTAGAGTGGGCAGCACTTGTTATTGGTTTCCAGTGAATGTAAACTACATTGGTTGAAAAACAATGCTGGGTTCTGTTCACTCTTGCACATAATGCATAGGAGATACAGATTTGAGTAGTTAACAAAAGCTGTAGCTAATGTCAAAACCTACAAAACCTTCATACACAGTTTTTCGGAATTCTGTTGATGAAAAAAGATAGAGGCAAATTAATGTAAATGGTTTCACGGAATGAATGTAAATGATTTTCCATGCCTGCATATAATATACATCAGAAACTCAAGAATTAACAACCTTTGAAGTGTTCTGCACCTGGCGTTGAAATTATCTGGAATTTATTCAATGTGCTGTTGGCCGCAGTTCTATGATCATTGTTCTTGAAATCATTTAGTGTTTGCACAGAACTGCCTCTCACATTTCTATAAATCCTTATTTCAAATTGATTTGACTATCACCTCGCATCAAGAGTATAAATCCGTTGTGATTTTAGATTTGGGCGTAATTGCATTTATAAACAAACACGTCAATCGCCGATTTCTCACGACTAGAAGCTAAATCTCGAATAGTTACTGTGTGTGTCACAGCCATTTAAGAGACAAATAAATGCCTTTCTCTAAAATATATTCCTTCTTTAAATCAAGAGCAGTTCTTTGGGAGTAGTTGTTTTAAACTCTGACCGAAAATTTTCCTACCAATATTTTGTCCCTCTAATTTCAATTTGACCTTTTGTCCCAGTGACCTTTTATCCCTCTTAGTCCACTTTGACATTTTGTCCATTCGGCCTTTTGTTCATTCGACCTTTTGTCCATTGGACCTTTTATCCTTTCGTCCTTTCGTCCTTTTGTCCTTCGACCTTTTGCCATAGATTCACTCTATATGTTGATTGAAATCAAACTGCTATAGTTCGTCTTTTTAGTTCATTAATTAATTTGGTAAGGCTCAATAGAATTAACTTTAAAGAGCCGAGATTTCTTGTTCACTATACAAAACATCTGAAAACTACACAGTTCAAAAAAGTAGTGTAAATTTCTGTTCAGTATGATGCACATAAATGGAGCGTCACATATCATACAAGTTTACATTATATATCATGTAAAGTTTTGATACATTTTATGCAATGTAGCAAATATTGTATACAAAAGCAAGTTGCTCGATTGCGTGAAATGAAATACAAGTTTACGTGAATGAATGTTTAAATCACTATTAAAATTCAGAATTTTTATCTGTGTTGAGTCAAAAGATACAACACAATACATACTTTATCTTCCGCTATCCAAAAAGCATCTTCCACCAGAACGGGAGCCGCTTCCAGTGGTTTCATTGTATGGCAGTATTGCCAACGGGAGGCAGAGCGCTTCCATTGCAGCAATGGACGCAAAACGTGGTCAGCACTCACACATTCATCACGAAACGGTTGCTTTCCAAAGTCGATGACGCATCGACTGAAAGAACTGCTGATGAAGAACAATGAGGAGGACCATACAATGGTTGCTGCCGAGTAAACAGACGATCGCGTGACACACATTGAGAGTGGTCTGCTTCTGTCGACAGCCGAGTGAACACTGTATAGCTTGTTTTTGTCGGGAACAATTTCTAGTTTATCAATGATCAATATTTTGATTACAATTGTACAAGGTTTGGTTCATTGTACTTCAGGAAATAACAGTTTGAAGAAAGGCAGTAAAATAAGAAGCGTTTTCCTAGAATTGCTTAAACTTCATGTAGAGTCAGCTGATCCAGCCCAAAAATATACCCATCAACCATAAATCAACTAGCAGCCAACATTTGAGAATTAGGATGCATATCCTGAAATTTTACAACTTACTGAACTTTTTCGGAGACGAATAAAAATTGTTATATTATTGTGTCTGTATGCAAGTGTATAAGTTAGTAAGTCAGTGAATAACTTAATAGATAAGTAAGTAAGTAAGTAAGTAAGTAAGTAAGTAAGTAAGTAAGTAAGTAAGTAAGTCAGTAAGTAACTTAATAGATAAGTAAGTAAGTAAGTAAGTAAGTAAGTAAGTAAGTAAGTAAGTAAGTAAGTAAGTAAGTAAGTAAGTAAGTAAGTAAGTAAGTAAGTAAGTAAGTAAGTAAGTAATAAGTAAGTAAGTAAGTAAGTAAGTAAGTAAGTAAGTCAGTCAGTCAGTCAGTCAGTCAGTCAGTCAGTCAGTCAGTCAGTCAGTCAGTCAGTCAGTCAGTCAGTCAGTCAGTCAGTCAGTCAGTCAGTCAGTCAGTCAGTCAGTCAGTCAGTCAGTCAGTCAGTCAGTCAGTCAGTCAGTCAGTCAGTCAGTCAGTCAGTCAGTCAGTCAGTCAGTCAGTAATTAAGTAAGTAAGTAAGTAAGTCAGTACATAAGTTAGAATGCATGTAAGTAAACAAAGATAGTAGTAGTGTAAAAAATACCAGTTAATAATTGCTTCTACTCCCAAAACTTCTGGTTATGTTTCAAATATGGAAGAATAATTTCTAAACTTTTCTATGGTATTGAGATTTCAAGTTTAATGAAGTCACCATAACTGTGGGATTTTGAATCATACATATTTTTAAGTTATAGATTCCTGAAAATTTGAAAATCTTAAATCCTATTAAATATGATTGAGATTGTTTGCCAGTCAGAAACTTAAAATATTTTTTTTATTAGTCTTTAATCTGAATTTTTGTATAAAATTTTATTTCCCAGTCTTGGAGTTTGTATTTTTTTCAAATTACAAAATGTTTATGTGGAGACTTTGAGACCGTTGTTGCATACTAACCAGAGACCGTATTATTACCCTGTTTTATACCGTTTCTCTAACACGATCATTTATTGCAGATGAACGTCGGTTAAATCCCATGCTTTTTTGTATTTTATTAAACGTGGAAAATTAATATTGATAGAATTTGCTCGGAACTAACTAGCATTCTCGGTGAAATGTGACGTGCTGTTCGAGTTAATAGAAGCGCATGCCGATTTTAATACAAAATGTTCAACTATGACATATTGCAGCTTTGGTCGCTTGATGCAAATAAGTTCAATTTTGTAATTATCAAATATCAAGTTTGTTGAAGCACCTGTCGGAAATTGAGTTAAATGTAAAATTTGAATATTTAAAATTGAGCTGAAATTCACATTATCAAAACTGTTATAATTTCGATCAACTAGCAAATACTTTTAACGGCGCTGGTGGTGTAGTCGTAAGCGTGATTACCTCTCACCCCAGCAGGCCTGGGTTCAATCCCAGTCGGTGCCGCCGGGATTTTCTGAGGCATAACATCTCTGATCACGCCTTCCTTCGGAAGGGAAGTAAAGCCGTTGGTCCCCGGTTCATGAGTTGATGGGTCGATAGGTAGGGTCCAGGTGTGGGAGCTGCCTTCCTGGCGTCGGTAGCATTGGTGCTCAGCACGGAAAACAAGATCGACGGAAAACAAATCAAGGTAAAAAAAAAAAGCAAATGCTTTCGACTTTCCAGCAAATGCTTTAAAAATTGTTATCGCAAAATTGAACAGATTTATAATTCTGTTGCGAAGGTTTCATGTTAATTGTCAATTTCGACCATTTTGTATGATAATTGGCAACCGCTGCTATTATATCGAACAGCACGATATCTTAGTTTACTGCATCTGGGGGTGTTATCCAATTTAAATAGATTTTAACGTCTAATATAATGAATTTTGGAATTTCCATCTAATTCTACTACCTCAATTCGCCTACCACCTCCCCCTTCTATTTGTGTGACGCATTTTCCGGTATCTATTACACATATTGTCGTACATTCAAGAAGCCTTCCCCGCTCAAGAGCGGATGTCATTTTGAATCACCCTTAACGATCGTTGGGTGTAGTGGTTAGCTGTGATGTAAGAAACTAGGTGGCCTAATGGTGACCGTTTTTGTAAGTGTGTAGAAGATCGTGCGTTCAATTC